CTGGAACAAAGAAGTCAGGGCTGCTGGGTATAAACAGTGTGTTAAAAAAAAAAGTGTTCATATCCAGTCCTAAGAAGGGCTAAGAAGGCAGATACAGTGAGTGCTTGAGAGGAGGGACCACAGAATCTGATGATCCCCAGGGAAGGGCAGGCCCTGGTGCCAGGGACTGGGATATGGGGCAGCAGTGGGTCCAGAAGCACATTTCCTAGCACCTGGGCCAGTGTGTACCCATCCAACGCAGGCCCAGAGGCTGGAAGATGGATGGTACCCAAGATCATGTAGGGACAAAGAGAAATCCTGAGAGGGGAGTGGGTATGCAAAGGCACTTAAGAGTGGGGCTGGAGAGGTGTGAGGTACCAAACAAGTTGAGGAAGAGTGCATTAAAGCAATCTGTTCGCAACAAACAGTCCCCAAAGATGCACATAAAGAATGTTTAAAATACTGAAAAATGGGAACATAATCTCAATCAAAGGGGACCAGTTGAATAAAAAGCATCTGTATATTAAGAACTTCCTTGGCAGTCAAGTGATTAAGACTCTGTGCTTCTATTACAGGACGTGAGGGTTTAATCCCTGGTTGGGAAACGAAGATTCCACATGCCATGCAGCATGGCCAAAAATTTTTTAAAAAAGGAAAGAAACAAACAAAAATGAGGTGGATCTATATGTACTGTTGTTTAAAAAAAAAAGGCTCAAGACATGTTGATAAGTTAAAGCAAGACATAGGGACAGACTATACAGTATGACCCATCCTTCCACAGAAGTTCCATAGGCTTATGAATGATAAATGTATACAGAGAAAAAGGAATCTGCTAACAATAGTTACCTAAGGGGAGAGGGGGACTGAGGAGCACACGTAGATCTAATTTTTATTTTACTGTATTGCTCGTATTTGTTTTTAAAAATGAGCACTGTTAGTTTTGTAATAATATCATATTCTAAGACACATTTTTTCATTTTAACATCTCTGAAATTAGCATGCTTGTCACATTCATTTCCAGCATTAAAAAAAAAAAAGATTTAAACATCTCTAAGTGTTTCCTGTAGTCAATGGGGTCTTCGACTTGATGAAATAAAGTAATATTTTACTTAAAAAAAAAAAAAAAGAGGGTATGGCAGAGTGTAACAACAGGTCTGGTCAGATCAGGCCTAGAAGACTGCCTTACTGCATCCTTAGTTTTAGAGATGCACACTGAAGTAGGCAGGGGTGAAATGACATATCTGGGATTCGCTTCAGAATACTCCAGCCAAGGAAAGATATAAAAAGGACAGATGGGACTTCCCTACTGGTCCTGTGGTTGAGAATCTGCCTTCCAGTGCAGGGGACTCAGGTTCGATCCTTGGTTGGACAACTAAGCCTGTGCCCTGTAACTAGAGAAGCCCCCTCGCATGCCACAACGAAGAGCCCGTGTGCTGCAACACAGACCCAGTGCAGCCAAAGAAAACAGGGGGTGGGGTGGGAATAGATGGAGGAGACGTGGAGAAATCTTGAACTAACTACTCGGTTTGGGTGATGGGTATATTTGGGGTCACTTAATTATTCTACTTTTATATACATTTGGAAATGTTCCAAGGAAATGTCCAAAGAAAGGACAAGACTCCAAAAGCAGATGAGCTCCAAAGGGACAGGGCATATACTCGTGGAGCACCTGGGCGAGATGGACCTGGCTGCCTTGGCTGAGAGCCTGGCTGGTGGAGAGTCCTGGTGAAAGGAGGAAAGGGGGGCGATTCTACGAAGAGGCAAAGGTGCATCCATGGCTGGTGTGAAGCCTTGTCCTCCCTGTGCCCCTCACAGATAAGCTCCCACCAAGTCGCCATATGCCCCTTGGCGAAAACCCCACCCCACGGGCCCCAGGAGGAGGCACCTACCCAGGATATGGGGCAGAGGGACTTGTACACACGCCGATACCATTCGCACACAGAGACGTCACCCCCTTTAGCGGTCATTGCCTTCTCACAGCGGTGGAAGTCTGTGAAGAAAAGGGATCAGGGTTAGCCCAGACCAAGGGCTGGAACACATTTCTGATCAAAACTCACAGGAATACTTTTTGCTTCACAACCAGTTACATGAATCCCCCCAACTTCCAAGTTTCACAAAGAAAGTATATCCTTACAAGTGTAGTACTGAAAAGGGCTGGACACACCACACTAAGCTTATTTTGCAATCCATAAAGAGCTACTGTCTGGGACTTCCCTGGTGTTAAGAATCCACCTTCCATTCATTAAGGGGGCCGGGGTTCATGCCCTGGTGGAAGAACTAAGATCCCACAGGGCAACAAAGCCTAGCTTGTGCACCACAAACGAGACCCAGAGTAGCCAAGAAAAAAAGAAAAAGAAGTACTATTCAACTTGGAACTTCCGGGTCAGGAACAACAGGGCAACTTGAGAGGTGTCTGTGGGGATTATGGAAGTCCAGAACCAGGACAAGAGAAGGGGAAGATGGTCTTGATGCTAAGATGCTGGCATCCAGGAGAGGAGAAAGGAGGGGGATAATCTGGTTTTTAATAGCTGGAAATTAATTCAAAGATTACTCCAAGTATTACACTCCTGGGCACACTCCCTAAGAGAGAAAGCATTCACAAAGACATCAAATTACATAAATTATAGCAGCATCATTCATATGAGCCCCAAACTGGAAACCACACCAGTGTTCATGAATGAAATGTTGGAAAACTGTATGCAATAAAAATGAGCAAAATATATGCCACAACACTGAAGAATCTTCCTAACTACTGAATGAAGAAATCCAAGCATAAGACAACACACAGTATTTATAAAGTTTACAAACAGGCAACCTGAAAGCGGTGATAAAACCAAAATATTACTGCCCTAAGTCTGTGGGGCTACAACTGTAGTGGGGAGAGCAGAGTGGTGCTTTCAAGAGATGGCATGCAGCAGGCAGGGGAGCTCAGAGGACTGGCAGTATCCAGATTATAATCACATGGAGGATTCAATTTAAAGTTATTCCTTTAGCTGTACATTATGGTTTACGTACTTCCTATGTAACATTCCATACAGACAGACATATACACATCTTGGGGGTGGGGGCGGGGAATCACTATGGGATCCAAAGTTTGTGACCCTAGGTCAGATCTTGAGCACAGGTGGTGATGAGGGGCATGGGCCCCGTGAAGCAGGATGTTCAGAAAGAAAGAGAAGAGGCTATGAGGAGGCAAAAGGTAAGCGACATGAGGTGAGGGATCAGGGGAAGCTCAACACTGCCCCCTCCTCCCCAAGTCCTGCTCACCCAGGTAGTTTTGCCAGCAGTTTCTGGTCTGGTTCTGGTTGGGGAAGCGGCTATCAAAAGGAGCAGTCTGGTAGTTCTTGATTTTGGTTTTGATGTCTTCTGCCATAGTGCTGACTCCTAGAAGGAAAGAGAGCAGATTCTGGCAGAGGTCCTCAGGGGCCTGGACATGGGGCTGTCAGCCCACCCAGGCCCAATGGAGGCCTGACAAAGAATGGGCTGGGTGTGAACAAGCCAATACCCCCTTCCTTTCAACATACAGACAGAGGTGAAGGGCTGGGCAAGAACACATCAGGTATGGAAGTCACAGCAGGATGTGTGGGGGTAGACAATTTCTTGGTAAAAAAAAACCAGGCCAAAATAACACTAGTTGATATTCACTGAGTGCTTACTATAGGCAAGGAAGCTTTACTCCTAAAGCTGCTCTAAAAGACAGGAACTATTACTATCACTGCTTCACAGACAAGAGACAGGGTGTTTAAGCAACTTCCCAAGGTCATACAGCACACATGGGGTGGAGGTGCACTCCATCACTAACATAACCTACACTGCAAAGGTTCTTAATCTCTATTGGTGCCATGAAGCCCTCAGGAGTCTAATGAACCCTTTCTCCGAATGTTTCAGTGCATTTAAAAATTGCACAGGATCACAGAGAAAACCAATTACATGTAGCTGAGGATTTATGAACTACCAGTTTCAAAATAATCATGCCTGAAAAGAGTTATGCTGTGAAATCTGCAAACATAATGGGATATATGATATGATGACCTGTGATTTTTACTGTTGATAAAGTCACAGATGATGCCAAATACCACCGCTACTGCCTCCATTCCCAAGCGAAGGAAATGCTACATATCACTGGTAAACTGGCAAAAATACAGATGTAAATTTCCCTCCATTAACGTACTAGCATCCCTTGAGTTCCATCCATTCTGTGGACCTAGCGTTAAAAACCTGACCCATAATCTTTTACGAGGTGACACACGGTAATCTGACACCGCCCTATTCCATATTATTCGCGGAGTCGTGGTAATACACAGAAGTAGACCAGTAATAAATTCAAGTGACCCAGGGTAGTGTAAGGATTTTGGGCACCGGAGTAGTGTATTTCCGGGAGCAGAGGATATGGAACATTAGACGCGGTGACACAGACACGGTCTCAAGAATTGTTTTGAAGGCCATCTCCACCTGATTTCGGGAGTAAGGGAGGACTGGGGATGACGCTGCAGCCCCTCGAAAGTGCAAGGGGCGGGGGGTGGGGGGTGGGGAGTCACCAGGAAGCCAGGATGCAGCCCAGCCAAGCCTCGGGGGTCACGGGCCGGGGAGAGAAATGCCTGAGGCCTGGTGATTAAGAGCAATGCAGTGCTAATGATTTCAAATCCTGATCGCTAGCTAAACTGCGTAGTATATAAGCCTCAGTTGCCTCCTAGCTAAAAGAGATAATCACAGGCCCTATCTCATAGAGTTGGAGGGAAGCTTAAATGAATCAATATAAATCCCTTTGAAAGTTCTAGGCATCCGAGAAAAACCAAATAATCGTCAGCTACAATTAATAATTGAAACGACCCCAGGGATCCGGGAGGTCTGCCACCGCCGGCCGGAAAACTCATGTCATTTACCAGTAGGGATCCTCAGTCCTCCAGGATGGGGTTCCACGGTCCCGAGCCCTCAAGACTCACCTAAAGATGCCCCTGAAGTCGCTGGAAGCTCAATGTGACCCTCAGCAAAGACGCCAGTACCGGACCGGAAGCGGAAAAATGGTAGGCCGGAAGCGGGACGGAGCAGCGCACAGAGGAGTCTTCCGCACGGCAAGAGCGCAGTCCCTGGAGCAGTTCAGGCCACGCCCATACTTGAGAATTCCAACCTCCTATTGGACCGAACGCCTGTTCATCCTCATTCTCGGCCCAATCGTAAGCTTGCGTAGCACTTGGTAGGTACCTTTCCGAGCTGTTCCAAGCTGTGGACTCTGTTCCAAGGTATTGACGGGGCCTGGTCACCTCTCTCTCTTTACTAGGAGAAAGCGGTTCTGGGTTCTGGAGTTGGCAGGAGCGTGGTCCTGCGGAAAATATTCCAGCAGAAACGCTCTTATTCGTGCAAGAATTACTTACTGAATATTTATCCAGTGCCAGATACTTCTGTTTAGGGTTGAGGAAGCATAGTTGAACTAAACACAAAAATATCTATGATTATTATGGGGCCAATTGTTAGTTTGACCCCAGGTAAATAGCAGGGAGAGAACACAGCTCCACCCATCAACAGAAAACTGGATTAAAGATTTGCTGAGCATGGCCACGCCCATCAGAACAAGACCCTGTTTCCTGATCAGTCAGTCTCTCCCATCAGGAAGCTTCCACAAGCCTCTTATCCTCCATCAGAGGGCAGACAGACTGAAAACCACAATCACAGAAAACTAACGAATCTGATCACATGGATCACAGCTTTGTTTAACTCAATGGAGCTATGAGCCATGCCATGTAGGGCCCCCTAAGACAGACGGGTCATGGTGGAGAGTTCTGACAAAATGTGGTCCACTGGAGAAAGGAATGACAAACCACTTAAGTATTCTTGCCTTGAGAACCCCATGAACAGTATGAAAAGGCAAAAAGATAGGACACTGAAAGATGAACTCCCCAGGTCAGTAGGTGCCCAATATGTTACTGGACATCAGTGGAGAAATAACACCAGAAAGAATGAAGAGACGGAGCCAAAGCAAAAACAACACCCAGTTGTGGATGTGACTGGTGATAGAAGCAAAGTCCTATGCTGTAAAGAGCAATATTGCCTAGTAACCTGGAATGTTAGGTCCACGAATCAAGGCAAATTGAAAGTGGTCAAACAGGAGATGGCAAGTGTGAACATCGACACTTTAGGAATCAGCGAACTAAACTGGACTGGAATGGGTGAATTTAACTCAGAGGACCATTATATCTACTTCTGTGGGCAGGAATCCCTTAGAAGAAATGGAGTAACCATCATAGTCAACAAAAGAGTCTGAAATGCAGTCATTGGATGCAATCTGAAAACCGACAGAATGATCTCTGTTTCCAAGGCAAACCATTCAATATCACGGTAATCCAAGCCTATGCCCCAACCAGTAACACTGAAGAAGCTGAAGTTGAACAGTTCTATGAAGACCTACAAGACCTTCTAGAACTAACACCCAAAAAAGATGTCCTTTTCATTATAGGGGACTGGAATGCAAAAGTAGGAAGTCAAGAGATACCTGGAGTAACAGGCAAATTTGGCCTTGGAGTGCAGAATGAAGCAGGGCAAAGGCTAATAAAATTTTGCCAAGAGAACACACTGGTCATAGCAAACACCCTCTTCCAATAACACAAGAGAAGACTCTACACATGGACATCACCAGATGGTCAATACCGAAATCAGATAGATTATATTCTTTGCAGTGAAAGATGGAGAAGCTCTATACAGTCAGCAAAAACAAGACTGGGAGCTGATTGTGGCTCAGATCATGAACTCTTCATTGCTAAATTCAGACTTAAATTGAAGAAAGTAGGGAAAACCACTAGACCATTCAGGTATGACCTAAATCACATCCCTTACAATTATACAGTGGAAGTGACAAATAGATTCAAGGGGTTAGATCTGATAGACAGAGTACCTGAATAACTATGGATGGAGATTCGTAACATTGTACAGGAGACAGGGATCAAGATCATCCCCAAGAAAAAGAAATGCAAAAAAGCAAAATGACTGTCTGAGGAGGTCTCACAAATAGCTGTGAAAAGAAGTGGAAAGCAAAGGAGCAAAGGAAAGATATACCCATTTGAATGCAGAGTTCCAAAGAATGGCAAGGAGAGCTAAGAAAGCCTTCCTCCGTGATCAATGCAAAGAAATAGAGGAAAACAATGGAATGGGAAAGACTAGAGATCATTTCAAGAAAATCAGAGATACCAAGGGAACATTTCATGCAAAGATGGACACAATAAAGGACAGAAATAGTATGGACCTAACAGAAGCAGAAGATGTTAAGAAGAGGTGGCAAGAATACACAGAAGAACTGTACAAAAAGATCTTCATGATCCAGATAATCACGATGGTGTGATCACTCACCTAGAGCCAGACATCTTGGAATGCATGGATTTAGTGGGCCTTAGAAAGAATCGCTATGAACAAAGCTAGTGGAGGTGATGGAATTCCAGTTGAGCTATTTCAGATCCTCAAAGATGATTCTGTGAAAGTGCTGCACTCAATATGCCAGCAAATTTGGAAAACTCTGCAGTGGCCACAGGGCTGGAAAAGGTTAGTTTTCATTCCAATCCCAAAGAAAGGCAATTGCCAAAGAATGCTCAAATTACCACACAATTGCACTCATCTCACACACTAGCAAAGTAATACTAAAAATTCTTCAAGCCAGGCTTCAACAGTACGTGAACTGTGAGCATCCAGATGTTCAAGTTGGTTTTAGAAAAGGTAGAGGAACCAACGATCAAATTGCCAACATCCTTTGGATTATCGAAACAGTGAGAGAGTTCCAGAAAAACATTTATTTCTGCTTTACTGACTATGCCGAAGCCTTTGACTGTGTGGATCACAACACACTGTGGAAAATTCTTCAAGAGATGGGAATACCAGACCACCTGACCTGCCTCTTGAGAAATCTGTATGCAGGTCAGGAAGCAACATTTAGAACTGGACATGGAACAACAGACTGGTTCCAAATCGGGAAAGGAGTACATCAAGGTTGTATATTGTCACCCTGCTTATTTAACTTATATGCAGAGTACATCATGAAAAATGCTTGGCTGGAGGAAGCAGAAGCTGGAATCAAGATTGCTGGGAGAAATATCAATAACCTCAGATATGCAGATGACACCACCCTTATGGCAGAAATCGAAGAAGAACCAAAGAGCCTCTTGATGAAAGTGAAAGAGGAGAGTGAAAAAGTTGGCTTAAAGCTCAACATTCAGAAAACTAAGATCATGGCATCTGGTCCCATCACTTTATGGCAAATAGATGGGGAAACAGTGGAAACAGTGACAGACTTTATTTTGGGGGCACCAAAATCATTGCAGATGGTGACTGCAGCCATGAAATTAAAAGACACTTCCTCCTTGGAAGAAAAGTTGTGACCAACCTGGACAGTATTTTTAAAGCGGAGACATTGCCAACAAAGGTCTGTCTAGTCAAGGCTGTGGTTTTTCCAGTGGTCATGTATGGATGTGAGAGTTGCACTATAAAGAAAGCTGAGTGCTGAGGAATTGATGCTTTTGAACTATGGTGTCAGAGAAGACTCTTGAGAGTCCCTTGGACAGCAAGGAGATCCAACCAGTCCATCCTAAAGGAAATCAGTCCTGAATATTCATTGGAAGGACTGATGTTGAAGCTGAAACTCCAAGCAATACTTGGGCCACCTGATTTGAGGGACTAACTCATTTTAAAAGACCCTGATGCTGGGAAAGATTGGAGGTAGGAGGAGAAGGGGATGACAGAGGATGAGATGGTTGGATGGCATCACCGACTCAAGACTCATTGGACATGAGTTTGAGTAAACTCTGGTATTTGGTGATAGACAGAGAGGCCTGGTGTGCTGCAGTCCATGGGGTTGCAAGGAGTTGGACATGACTGAGTGACTGAACTGAACTGAATTGTTAGGGGACTGAAAACAAATCATTTTTTTTCTCCCAGGGTCATTTGTCATGCTATGAGGGTGCCCAGACTCCACCTCCTTGTTCATTACTATCTTTCCCCAAACCTTCAGCTCAGTTCGGTCGCTCAGTCGTGTCCGACTCTTTGCAACCCCATGAATCACAGCAAGCCAGGCCTCCCTGTCCATTGCCAACTCCCGGAGTTTACTCAAACTCATGTCCATCCAGTCGGTGATGCCATCTAGCCATCTAATCCTCTGTCATCCCCTTCTCCTTCTGTCCCCAATCCCTCCCAGCATCAGGGTCTTTTCCAATGAGTCGACTCTTCGCATGTCCCCAAACCTTAGAGAGCACAAATTAACAAAGATTTGAGTAACTGAGAGCTCAGAAACCAAATTCCTGCCTCACAGAGGAGAGGTTAAGAGTTAAAATCACTCTTGGGTGATTTTATCTTGGATCCGTGAGGTGTCTAGCAGAAATTGACCCATCTCTGCAAATGACAACTTCTGGTTACAGACATGTCTTTGACTCCTTTCTCTCATACCCCATAGCTGATCGATCAAGAAATGCTGTTGTCTCTGCCTTAAAAATATGTCCAGAATCTTCTGATTCAAAGTCACTGGCACCTGCAGCCTGGTTTATTGCAGTGGCCCACTCCCTGACCCCTAAGCTTCCCTGCTGCCCTCCGCAATCAGGTCACTCAGCCAGAGGGACCCTGTCCTTGCTGTCCAAGGGACTCTTCGAGAGTCTCCTCCAACACCACAGTTTGAAAGTATAAATTCTTTGGCACTCAGCCTTCTTTATGGTCCAACTCTCACATCCATCTGGTGACTCAGATGGTAAAGAATCTCCCTCCAATGTGGGAGACCAGGGTTTGATCCCTGGGTCAGGAAGATCTCCTGGAGAAGGGAATGGAAACCTACTCCAGTATTCTTGCCTGAAGAATCCCATGGACAGAGGAGCCTGGTGGGCTACAGTCCACGAGGTCACAAAGAGTCAGACACGAATGATCAACACACAAACCCTCACATCCATACATGACTACTAGAAAAACCATATCTTTGACTATTTGGACCTTTGTCTGCCAAATCTCTGCTTTCTAATATGATGTCTAGGTTTGTCATAGCTTTCCATCTAGGGAGAAAGTGTCTTGAAAGACTTAAAAGAAATTAAAATTTCATGGCTGAAGTCACTATCTGCAGTGATTTTGAAGCCTAAGAAAATAAAATCTGTCACTGCTTCCACTTTTCCCTTTCTATTTTCCAGGAAGTGATGGGACCAGATCCTTATCTCCTCTTAACTGCTGCTGCTCCAGCCACTCTGGCCTCCTAGCAGTTCCTTAAACCTGCAAGCTGATTTTCCCCAAGGGTCTTGCTGTCCCCTTGCCCTGGAATGCTTTTCTTTCAGCTGGCTCCTTCCAGCATGTCCTGCAGGTCTTTGTTAAAAGGTCACCTTATCAGTGAGTTCTTCTCAGTCCAAATATTTAAAATTGCTATCTTGTC